GGGGGGGGGGTTGCATCAGGCGTGCTGCGCATTGTTTAAATGGGACTCTGGAGCCGATTTCCCGCAGGTGCGTATCCCCACCAATAATACTACACTGGAGCAGCCAGAACACGTACTTGTGGGAAGGCTGCTCATATCACCCGCCCTACCGTCTTCACACGAATAGAACGCCCGCTCATTATAGCTGCATTTGGCCCAACTTTCAGTCCAGATGCAGCGATAATGACCGGGCGCTCTATTTGGGTGAAGACGGTAGTAATGCCGGTCTGGTTTTTATTTTATGTTTTGAAAAAAGGCTCTCTACTCTTCTGTGTGGATAGGTTTAGCTTCAGCTTGACTGCGGCTCTGCCGCTCTGCCGACGGGTTAGATTGTACGGAATTTTTACACTTCTACCGTTGTACGTCCCCCTTTTTTCTCCCTCTGTATTGTACTGATACTCTGGTTTAGGTCGTTTTTGTCTGTGTTTGTGTGTATGTTTTTGTGTGTGTGTGTGTGTGTGTGTGTGTGTGTGTGTGTGTGTGTGTGTGTGTGTGTGTGTGTGTGTGTGTGTGTGTGTGTGTGTGTGCTGTGTGCATTTGGTTTTCCTTTCTATTTAGGTTGTGGAGTGTTGACGTCTGTGAGCAAGGTTTGGGCTTGGCCGGAGTGCCTTGCTCAGGGCCATCGGTCGCCAGCGGTTGGTGGCTAGTAAAACCAAAAAAAAAATGGTAAAGGCTGCTAAACAGTTAAAAAAAAAAAAAAAAGGGTTGAATGAAAATGACAAGAACGATCAAACCAGCCCAGAATGGGCAGAGACATGATTTATTTTTCATGGGTTTATTGACTTACTTATAATATATCGTCAAACAGAGCTGCCTGGTAAAAAACCGTGGGCAGAGAGGGAGAAGAGGACAACAAACTAGTGCCCGCGATGTGTGTGTATGTACTATGTATATATTACTGTATATACTATATACTCTATTACACTGTATAATATTATATATATCGTCAAGCAGAGCTCCCCGGTAAACCGTAGGCAGAGAGGTTAGGGAGAAGAGGACAACAAACGAGGGGCTGTGACAAACGGTTTCGTCGGAGTTTCCTCGACTATATATGTACATGTATATTTGATTATGATATATATATATTTGTCACAGCCCCTCGTTTGTTGTCCTCTTCTCCCTCTCTGCCTACGGTTTACCGGGCAGTTCTATTTGACGATATATATATATATATATAGAGAGAGAGAGAGAGAGC